GCAAACGAAGTTACTAGACCATAGTCATCCGAACCCCATACTTTTCTTTCTTTAACGTTGAACGTGACCTAACAGAAAACCGATTTGCCTAGGTTTGTGTTAATAGTTCTCACTTTACAAACTCTACATTGTATCTTACTTGTCATTACTTAGCTTCTACCTGCAAGTAATATATCCGTCTTTCACCATGAGTCATTGACATTATTCCAATTTTTGCTCTACAGTATATAAAATTCATCTTGTTATTCGTTAATTTCCCTATCCTATGGATGAATGACCTTGATACTGCAAGATTTAGCCTTTGTATTCTGGTGCATATATCCCTTACTACTCATCGACTTTTATTATGACTTAACTGTCATCTTGAATCCCTTGGGTTCAGAGTATTTTTCAGTCGGGAAGATCATAATTGTATGCCATCAATTTATTTGGCCCCTAATGTATGGAGCACTGACACACTATGTGAACGGAAGGATGCTAGATATTACGCCCCTATTAGGCGTTGAAAAAGGATGCTTGTCCTTGAACGACATTACTGAGTAAACAACTTCTGGATGACTTGTAAATAAAACTATGTTTAAAATCAGTTTCGCTTCCATGATAAATCTTTTCATCCTCAAACATGTTCGAGGTATAGATTCTACAATTATCGTCTCTAGTTTCCTTAAAAGAGTATCTCGGTATTTAGTAAGATTCATGATAGCCTGTAAAAACTTTTTGAATGTCCATATGTACCTTCTGCTGGCAAACAGTTTATTATAACAAATCTAAGCCCAGGAAACCAGTGTCAGGTAATAGATGTTTGGGAAAATAGTGATTCAAAATGAATAATGGGATGTGGTTCTCTTTATGTTGGGAACATCAATGGATTCCAAGTATTGACCATTTGTCTCGTATTAAATATGTGACACATATATCATTTTAATATTGCTTCTATCCACTAGTTTTAGATCGGTTTGATTAAGTGTGGTGATTGAATCTACTACTAAACTATAAGTTATAGGCTTAGAAATATAGATAAAAAATGGACAGATACACAATCCAACAGACTAAAATCGAACCAACACAAATACAGTGATTGAAGTATAGGATAGTGATAGAGGAGTTCAGTATTAGTCATCGAAGAACAATTGAAAAAAGGAAGTAACCAGTAAAATTAAAATGACTCATTAAAATGTCAAATATCTATGATTAAAAAAACTATTGTAACGAAGGTGGAAAGTTTTTCTTCACGAAACAAGATCTGTTTTAAAAAACATGATTAAGGTAGAACGGATGGTTTATGCTGCTACCACACTTCATAAGCTAAGTAAAAATAATCCTTAAAATGAACCTCAGTCCCAAATACAGCCAGTTTCCCATAAACTGCTACGATCATATCATTTCATCGAAAATACTTGACCCATAATCAAAATAGCTAATATTGTAAAAATAAAGCAAACAGCAATATTTAAATATACTTATCATTCAAAAGCTGTTCAAACTAACCAGCGTGATAACAGGAAACCAGTAGAGGGAAATACAGCGTGTCATTTTGGAGCTTTGAAACAATTGCTTTATAAACCAAACAGAACTTTATTAGAGATCTATTTGCAAAATCTCGGTGTCCCATACTGGATTTTCATGAGGTTTTAGAAAGTTTGTAACATTAAAACCATGGCATAAACCCCTGATCACTTGATCACAATCTTCAGTATAAGTCAATAGACTTTCCATTTGATTACAACCCAAAGGGACGAAATGGACTGGAAGAAAGGAACGAGAATGGTGACAGATTTGTGTGTGTGCATTCAACAGAATGGTTAGGCGATACAATATTCTGCCACAAACGTATACACAAAGCTACAGAGGTCCCACTGTATCACACTACAGGAAATCAGATAGATCGTATTCACATCATTAAAAAATTCTAAAGGTCAACGTAAGAGGTATCACATTACTATCGGTACCAGTAGAAGTTTACAAAAGTGTTGTTGAATCGGATGAAAGATTCAGTTGACGCCCAACTTCGAGATCAACAGACCGGATTTCGTAAGGATCGGTCGTTCACAGATCAAACAGAGACACTATGGATAATTGTTGAACAATCATTAGAATGGGACTCGTCACTGTAAGTCAACTTTCTTGACTATGAAAAGGTATTTGATAGTTTGGATAGGAGAACCTTATGGAGCCTTCCTCGACACTATGGTGTACCTGAAAAAGCAGCCAACATCATTCGGAATTCATACAACGGTCTACACTACAAGACGTGCATGAAGGACAGCTGACAGATGCATCCCAAGTGCGGACTGGAGACAGACGAGTCTGCTTACTCTCTCCCAGTACGTTTCATCTAGTGGTTGACTGGATTATAAATTCCTTCACATCTAAGGGGAAGCATGGAATACAGTAGAAAGCTTTGTTGTAACTACACGATTTGGATTTTGCAGACGAACTAGCTCTAATATTCCATGCACATCAACAAATGCATGTCAAAACAAACAGTGTAGAAGCAGCCTCTACAGCAGTAGGCTTCAATATACACGAGGGGAAAAACAAGATCCTCAATTACAACATTGAGCACACCAACAAAATCATAAATGATGGAGGAACTCTGAAACAGGTGGAAGATTTCACGTAGCTGGGAAGCATCATCTATAAACCAGGAGGATCCGATACAGACGTAAGGGCAATGATTTGCAAAGCAAGGCTGGATTCCTACAGTTGGAGAACATTTAGAGCTCAAAAAAGCTGTCAGTCAACATCAAAGTCATAATCTTCAATATAAACGTCACAACAGCTCTACTATATGGAGCTGAAACGAGGAGAACTACTGCAACCATCATCAGAAAAGTACAAGTATTTATAAACAACCACAAAATGCTCAGTGTCCGTTGACAGGAAAACATCAGCAACAGCCTACTGTGTGAGGCAACAAACCAGTTTACAGCTGAGGAGAAAATTAGGAAAAGACTTTGGAAGTGGATAGGAAATATACTGCTGGAATCATCAAACTGCATCACGAGGCAAGCGTCAACTTGAAATCCCAAAGGGAAACGGGAAAGTGGAGGGCCCGAGAACACACAGCGGCGAGAATTAGAAGCAGGCTTCAAAAGGATGAATAGCAAGTAGGAAGGATTGGCCAGGACAGAGTTGGATTGAGAATGCTGGTGGGCGGTTTATGCTCCTCCACGAGGGGTAACAGGCATAACTAAGTAAACGAATATCTTGATTCATGGGCAGTTAAACGAACTCTACTGGCCAATGACATGATATGCTTCACAAAATGTAAATATTTTCATGCAAGATATTCGGTTGTTAAGTCAACATAGATTTTTCTTTAAGTAATTACACATATGGACCTCACCGGGTTGAAACTCACATCTCAAAGCTCACGGGCACAGATAAAATCAGTACCAATCATTATGAAAAGCGAAATGATTATTGATTAAAACACACTAACAGAAATTTATACACAGTTGTGTAGTTACCCGATCAGTTGAGTGGAATGTGTATGTCCGTTTCCTTTGTAAGCGGTGAACAGAGATATTTTAGTTTCGAAAATATTAGTATTTTGAATGTTCCATTCGCTAGACGTTATACCTACATTCAGAAGGCTGTTTTTGTTTACTTGACTTAAAGTATGAGGCTGGCAAAGACTTATGAGAAACTGTATGTTTTTTTGCCATCTTTGTGCAACTTATCACTGTAACCAGTCAGTCTATGAAGTCGGTGACTGTTGGATTGTTCCGTATAGATAAGTGCAGATTAACTGATTGAGGGTCCGAGCAATTATCGTGAGCAATAGGTGAGATAAATTTGCTTTGTTTCTCTCAGGTCTCTCAGTTCCGAAATATTTTTATGCGTTTTTGTTTAGCGAATTCACTATTTATTCTAAAACCATACTGCATGTGCTAAACGTTTATTTTGATACTTATACCGTGACTACCTATACCATCCTGGGACACCACCGCCTCGCAGTGCTAATGATGTGCTGTGGTAATTTGAGCCGATATACATAAGTATCAGGTTCTACGTTGCTTATAAACGACTGAATTCGTTGTGATTATCGTAAGAAAGAGTCATTCATACAAATGAATATAAACCTGTATTAGCATACTATTGAATTTCTTTGTAAGTACAGAACTAGTAGGTTTTAGGGATGAATTCAATCGTTCTTTAATTGTGTTTCATATTTTGGGAATACAGAACGAGTATCAATAAATTTAATGTGTAAGCGTTTGGATTATCTCGGTGTTAGTGATTTTGGCTGGTATATGATCAAACTTTGTTGGCATTTGTTCATCTTTTGACGATTGCCTCGGTATAGCAATTATGAGATAAGTTGACGTAGATGGAATGAGGTCAGTCATGGTACTCGGGACGCATGTTTCGTCCTAATTGGGACTATTAAGTTGGACATACCTACATCCCAGAGTCCTCACTCCTAGACACGAACATAGTACGGTTCGCTCGAAAAGTGTTATCCACTTAACTATTGAGTGAAGCTAGTCACTCACTTGTGAAGCGGATAGGAGGTTTAGCATAGATATGATAAATTAATGTTCACCTGATTTGGCAATTCTATCTACCTCATACAACATTCGGACGGTAAATTTAGACTAGACTAATTTCTACGGTTTTTGTAAATGACGTCTGAGGCGTTCAGTTTCACTAATCATGAAGTATAAACATGTAAGCTAAAACAGTTTTCATTATCATTCAATCTATTAACACTGTAAAGTACATGAGACTATAATTTATTAACGATCTTTGTGGGACGCTAAAGTGACCTTGAAAAACCAACCAGTCTACTAGGATCAAAAATAGATTATAAGATTAATATGAGGCATTAGGATTAAGAGTTAGAAGTTCAAGAGATACAGTTACGTTTTCCATCACGCACCGACATTTGCTATAACGATAACTTGACTCACGATCATCCCTAGGTTTTTTAGGAGATATATGTATATAATTATGCAACAGGCCTTCAACTACAACTTTACAAAAAGAAAACTCATGAAATAAAGGATCTTTATTTAAAAAATATGCTTGTACATAAAGAGTAAATAACAATATACAACAAAGTGTACAAATGTTCTTTTGAGCAAGAATTGATTTTGGAATTCTATGATTCAATATTTAAGTGTATTTCTAACAATAATACTACAAACAGTATATATAAATATAAATCATGCAAAGCTGAAAATGAATCCCAAACAAACAAGATCTTATAGTTTTTTATTATTATTTCGAAACCTCCAGGTTTATCCGCCTTTTTAACTCATCAAACCAATTTAATATTTTAAATAGAATTTTTAACTTTATCAATCAAACGTTGAATTTTATTCAGTTTGTCGAAATGTACTTCATGGTTTTCTTCTTGATAATGACTTTGTTGTAGGGAGTGTGGTGTTGTTGATTGAAGATGATGATCATTTGAATCATGTTTCTGATGTGATGGTGCTATTTGTTTAACTCTGACAATATCAACATTGTCATCATCATCATCGTCATCATCACCACGTTCAATTTGTTCCGGTAATTTTATAGAAGTAAACGTTTGAGCAGAATTTTCTGGAATTTGTTTCTGTAATGTATTGAGAATAACAGCAGAGCTGGCCGCAGCTAAAGCCTAATAAATAAAAATATATAAACGAATTTGGAAAAGAAGAAAATCCTATCAAGTTCTTATTTGTTTTTTATGGAGAAATGAGGGCGGTTAGAAGTTGTTAAGGTTTCGTTTTTTTACATCTTAGGTATGAATCTTATGCATATTTATTGATGCTCAGTTGAAAAGAATCCCAGATTAGAACGAAATAACCTAAAGGAAAGCTACGTAGATTGAATAAACTTCATATCAATTGATGATATAAACCTAACAGAAAGAATTCAGGGAAAAAACGACTTTCTAACATTTGAATAAATAGGATTTGAAATTTATGACTTGAATAACTAATATTCATTATGTTTGGTATATGCATAACAGTGGAATCCAGATGTGAATTTCGCCTCAGTTGTAATTAATCTACTGAATATAACTGAGTCTCAGTGTTGATATCCACAATAAGACTGGAACACAGTAAACGAAAAGTTCCCAAGTTATCAATACCGAAGCCTAATTAAAAAAAGTATAAACACTAGTTAACGGTGTAATGAATTAAGATAATATTGACATTCTATGTTGAGATACATGTACATATATATTGTCAATTATGTCAAAACTATCTGTCTGTCAGTGATATTAAATTCATTGGAGTTAATATTTGTTTTGTCTTCACTACAGACAATGATTCTATGGGTTATTTTATATTAGATTATCGTTCAAGAAAAAAAGCAGATATTAGTTATACAATTATTATTGGGAACTCTGAGTTCGATCCCAGTGGAAATGGGTGGGTCATGGATATACATTGTAAAGATGTTGGATACTACGAACAAATGAGTTATCCACTACCTCCTGGTTTTCAGTCGTTAGCTAGTCTAAAGTCATTTCATGATGTGAACTGTAAAATTCCTCAATTGATAATAATAATAATAATAATAATAATAATAATAATAATAATAATAATAATAATAACATGAACTTACTGTTTGACTGGTTGTTAAAGCTAGGTTAGGATCTAATGGAGCAAAATCTGCATTACTAGCAGCTCGTTTTATCACTTCCTTTGTATGAGCTTCAGTAAGTTTTTCAGCTACTTTTAGTTTACTTTGAAAAAATTTCGTATCATCCATTACCCCAGTGGCAACAGCTAATCCACTGACAAGTGAACCGCCTAAATTAAAATTCATTTGACTACTAGATATTGCGTGAGTCATTGTTGTAGATGCATTACCAGGACCAATATCATAAATACGCGAACGATGTAACGATTCATTTGATTTAATCATCGAAATGAATTCTGTACGATATTCTTTCTCAGCCGGTCCCCATTCATGAACAGGTTTCAAAAATTCTTTCATTAACTATTCATAAAGGGAGGTAGGGGGTTTAAAAATAATTTTCTATGTAGTAATGAGAAATAAAAATATACCTTGGAGTAAACTAAAATGAAACATATATCTAGGTCACTCTGTCGACTCTGTTCCTGAACACCAAAGTATATTTACATTAATAGTTACAGTGTAACTTGACTGGTAGAATCTGATCAACACTAAGGTTTAGATGTAAAAGTAAGTTTTACTGATCAGTCATAGTTAGATTTAAGATAGTAGCTTGAAGACAGGTTTTTAAGCAAGCTAATGGTAAACAATTTGTATTTGAATAGGACGTCTTAAATTTATAAACACAGTAAGACTAAAGAATATTGGGGAATTAGAGAGTAACTTTTGAAATATTGACGAAAAAACTGAGTAGACTGTCGATAGGAAAAATTGTACAAAACGAAACGAGTTGCAACGTGACGTCTTAACATAATTTGAAAATGCTTCAATGTGACTAACATGTTTTTGAGATCTGGAATTAAAGAACTATTTACATAACCGTTTATCGATTCGGCTACGGATCATTCTTCTACTGTAACTAGAAAGAAACAGTGCTTCCTGGTTCCCAGTGATGGCCCAACTATGATCAACATATAATGTGATCTATTTAAATCAGTCAATCTCCACAAAACCCCTAAATAATTATTTATTTACATTACTTGCATGCTGATTAGCTAAAAATGGGCTATACTAACGAAAGTTGCTAATTTTTGTCAACAAAGTATGTTTTTTATTCACCTAATACACTTCATCAAAGATAAATCACTCATAAGTGATTCACAACATAAAGAAAATGAAAGAAACATACAACATAACCGCCTTCTTTACAGTATTTATATAAAAACCATGCAATGATTGTTAATACAGGTATAGCTGCTAATATTTGACGAAATATTAATGCCCACTGTGGATATGTATAATTGCCTTCTTTAAATTCTGTTGAATAAATAAATATTGCAATGATCAACAAGAAACAAATGATCGGTGTGAATACAAGCCAACAAATACGCCAATACCAATTTGGTCGTTCATCAATCATCATTTCAATATCACGTCGAAATTGTTTTAAACCTAAAATATAATAAATGAAGAAGAGAATTTTGGAAAAAAGTGAAGATTAGAATTGAAACAAATAATTTAGGTGACAATTTTCATTATTATGGAAATTCATTCAGATGAGTATGACAAGAATAAAGCTTTAAAATTCACATCATGAACAGATCTTAGTCAAACAACCATTTAAAATCAGGCGTTCGATAGTTGTTTTGTTCATAAGCATGGGACTTCACAGAAATGTGTACGGAGGATCCCTGTTGTGAGTAGTTAAGTTCAATATTGTCTGGTGTGTAGTGATTAACCACTGAGAGACTTGGGAGGCGATTGTGCAATACCATGAATTCAGTTCAACATTTAAGCCTCCCAAGGAGACCTGAAGTCCTTCAATCGACTCATGGAGAATCTTGGTATACGCACTGTTGAGAAGTCTCATTTAATGATGAAACAACTGTCAAGTACTCTCTAGTTGTTCATGTTTATCTAGCTAAAGCTAATTTGTGATGGAAATTACAGAATTCAAAAATCTTCATTAACTCATATACAGTAATATTGACCACTTGATAACTAGGCACTAACTTTGAGATATATTTCCCGGACTTCTAAGCGAAGCTGTGAAAAGAGAAAGCCAACCACATCGAGTATTAGGCGGTTACCCACCAATGATTTTGGAATGAAAATTGACTGAAACTAAACATACAGACTATTTAAAATGATTATTTAAAGGTTAATTGCTGGCATCAAGACCACAATGATCCCTGGTTCAATTATAAGTTTAGCTGTGAATGCACTTTCCTGAGAAGACCTATACTGGGACGAAACAGATATCCATTTCTTCCTAGTTTTAATGGCTGTCTAGCTACAATCAGTTTATGATGCAAAGTATAAAATTCAACAATCTCTACAAATCCTTTATACAGTCATTCATGCCGGATACTAGGCAGTTATATACATATCAAGCTGATCTATCTTTATCAAATGAATTACTCATCATTACAGTCATGTGGACAAATCCCAACCTTCTTACATCTAATTGTGTTTACCAGTTTACATCTACGTGCCAAGGCACATACATTGGGAGAACAGAAAAGAGCGTTAGTTTACGCATCGTTGAGCGCATTCCATAGAAGCTAAGACCTAGAGGACAATACGTTTTTGGCAGTGCATTTTCTTACTACGTATCTACGTATCTCAGTTTATTTTATTTTAAGAGTTAAATAATAACAATTATATATTGCTTCTAAATAATTCTGTTTCTAAGTTCTAAGGTGTCTATCTTAGAATATTCTTATACATTCAACTTATAAATATCCTCATTATTTGACAAATGTACATTCTTGCTAACTTCGCCTGGAGCCCCTCTCGAGCTACTGCCGGTCCCAAGCCCGGATAAAGGAGGGTTGGGCATGGGGTTAGCGACCACATCCCGTAGAAAACTAGTTCGCTAACAAACTCTAACCATAAAACATCCCTGCTAGTTCACTCATACTTATTACTCTATTCATCACTTGATTTGTGTGTGGGGTGTGATACTGCCCGGGTGTTCAAACTAAAGCAGGTAGTTTTCGTAGGGGGTTCACTCTCGGAGCGTTTGACCTAAAGGTCTGGTCCATGAGGCAGTGGAGCAACATCAGGAGATGCAGTCACATGGTAGCCGGTAACCAACGTTTGGTTCATATGCCATTTGCTTTTTTAGGATCCTGCAGCCCATGTTCACTATTGGTTTGGAATCAGAATCTTCCAACTCCCCTAGGTGGACCCTCCGTGTCCACTGACCCGGTTAAAGCGCCGGACATTCACTTTTCGTCCTCTCATTTTCGTAAACAACAGGCAGCGAGTAGAAATTTCCTGTCAGTGGTTGGATGCACGTGGACATGTGGGAGCATTTCGAGAGGGAGAGCTAACTCTTCCCACGCCGGCTGTACCAGGAAGTTTGGGGGCATGTATACAAAGACTTTTAATGATTAATACTATTATGTTTAAGATGTAATCAGCTGACGAGAAACTCCGAATAATATAACGAATTCATGTTATTCTGCTACACTAATCGTTCTTGTTTTAGTCAAATATAAAGTATAAAATACATCAAATGATCGATGAATTAATATTACAAAGTTGCTAAACGACAGACAGTTGCTCACGTGACCAAATGATCACTGTAGATCGCCCTCCTACCATATCAAAATTATTTTAGAAGACAAAACAGAATAGAATAAAATTTTTCAGTGGATCAACGAGCACTCTCAACATGTAGTTTATTGAATACAAAAATAAACATAATTATTAGAATTTAGTCAATGAATAGATGATTGGAAGGTGTGTTAGAATGACAGATCATTCACTCTTCAATGAATTCAATTGATAAGCTGTCATATCAAGTGTATGGTGTTTCAATTAACGAAAATATTAAATTCCATTGTAATTAAGCACTGATTTATTATATTCTATTACATTAATTAGTTTCACTTTGATCAAACATTTTTGAAAAAAGTCATGAAAGATTTTTTCTACAAAATTATTCGTTTTAATGAATTAATTCTTAAATAATTTTTATTCATAAAAGTGTTAATCATCTACGATAAATTAAAACTTACCATATACATAACAGATAACAATTGTTTCACATAATGCAATAACCAAAGGTGTATAACCTGATATAACACTATCACATATAGAGAATAAATAATAACCACCAGCACAGACCATAGGTAATCCAAGCAAGAAATCAACAAAGCATATAACAATTCTATGTAAACCAATAACAGCCATAATAACACAAAGAAAGAAGGGAAAGAAAGAAAAAAAGATAAAGTGTATGTATTGATTTACTGTTGGTGTATGAACGGTCTTATAGGAAGTTTTACTATTATACAGTCTAGTTAAATGTCTAGATTAACCTGTTTTCCAGATGTACAAATAGTGCAATGTAGTTAGCTATTTATAATAAATTTGTTGTATTTAAATAATATTCTGCATGGTAACCGGTAGGTATTCATTATATTCCTAAACACCATTGGGGGGATTCAAATAACCAATACAAATGAATCAAAACTTCACACCGATACACAATTCAATTGCTATCTGAACTCAGTAGTCAAGTGGATAACGAGATATTGTTTCATGTAAACGGTACTAGGGTCAAGTCCTGGAGTGAAAATCAACTCTAGGATGCAGGTACATCAAGCTGATAAAGTTTGTAAATATCCATGGGGAACACATTACTGATGCTAGACTTCTTAAAACCAGAATTTTCACTTTTACTAAATCAGTGTTTCCCCATAGGCAAAATAGTCAACCCAGGTTTTAAAGTAGATGATATAGTCGAATAGCCTAGTCAGAAAAAACGGACTACTCATGACTACCAAATACTATTTTGCGTAAACAGACGTTGTCAGTCAGTCAGGTACAACGTATGACCAGGCATTTATATGCATCGGTCCAAGTTGCCACACCTAATTAGCACAACAACATGAACACCAAATTCACAGAAGTAGTCACTTCAATAGTAGTAATATATTAAAAAAAAGAATGTGGTTAAAGACAATACAGGAAAGAATAATTAGTTCGTAGGAATAAATATAGTAATTTTAATCTCACGGTTTAAGGGTAGGCAACGAATGTACACACCTACACCATTGTGACCAGTTATGAGCCATGTCAACAAGAGTCTCCATCCATTACTTACGATAGTCACGCGGACTCCAACCAAGTAGTCTACATCTTTCAACATGACTCAGACTAGAAGTTAGTGACTTCAAGGACTGATGCACGTTTTGGTTTGACCGCCCCTAACTTTCTTCTAACCAAGTCCAACACTAGTCAGGATTGCGCGTCGTGGTAAACAGTGTCCAGGCATACGTAACACGTGTCACAACGATCTCATTCGATGAACATCCACAACCTCATGAACTGACTTACCATCATTTCTAATTCTGAATCCGTGCAGAGATTTTGTCAGACACCAACTCATTAAGGCTGAACAGACTAACAAGATAAGTGAAGTTGTCGACGCGTTCGACTACTTCACTCGCTATCCCTAGTTCAGGTGTTGACGCAGGCCAGTCCTGAAGTGACAATTTGCATTTAAATAGGGAGAAATGCATCATAAACATTCTGGTATTGTTGCTCAGTGCTAACCAAAAGACTGCATCTTATCAGAATCTTCATCAAACAAGACTACATCATCTGAGTATTCTAAGTGGATCTCTTTGTAGGAGATCGATTCCTGAAAATTCAGTCGACGAGACTGTTATTTCCAGCAGTAGATCTATGATGAAATTGAACAAAAAGGGAGATAGTGGATAGCCTTGCCGGACACCACATGAGGTTGCGAAATCAGATAACAGTTCGCCATAAGCTCTGACTCGACTAGTAGTGTTCGAGTAAAGAGCCTTCACAAGGTTAATGTACTTCTGAGGTACACCTTTCAATGCCAGACACTGTCACAGAACCTCTAGATCTACAGAGTCAAATGCTGCCTCTAAGTCAACAATTCTATCATTGTCGGCGCCGATAAGCATGCCTGTGTTCTAAAACCTGACAAGTGAATATGTGGTCGATGTAACCAGGACCAGGTTTGAAACCAGACAGATTTCCTCACATCTGAAGTTCACAAGTCTTTGTTAAGCGTCCGAAGATTATTGAGGCTAGTATTTTAGATGCCATATTAGTTAATCAAATTCCCCTATGCTTATCACATGATAATTTTGACCTCTTCTTATATATTGGGACGATCAGTGATTGCGACCAGTTAGATGGGATTACATCCGACTCCCAGAGTTTAGCTAAAATATTGGTCAACCTGATCACTAAAACTAGACTACCATCCTTAAATACATCTGGATCCAATCCATCTGGGCCAGCTGCTCTTGCTGGTTTCCGATTAGTCATAGTTTTTTAACTTCAACTAGAGTCGGGGCGGGCCATCAGTATAAAAAATTTGAAACGATACAGTTGTCAATATCTCAACATCAACTGGAAAATTATTTTTTTATTATTCATTTACATAGTATCTAATTTCATTTCTTTTAATAAAAATTCTTTTCCTCTGATTGCTGTCATCCTTCTTTGAGCTTTACTCATCTTATTCTGTTAATCTATTTAAATTTGTGTTATTTCGTAACCTTGACATCGGTTTTCATTCTCTAGCAACGTGTCTGTGTTTGGAAATTTCCTTCTGTATAAATCCTTATTCATTTTACTCTTCTATAACTCTTCCATATCTGTTGCCGTTATTCTACTGATATGACATAAAGTCTGTATATTAATCGTAAATAATTAGTACTATTATTTTCATGTTGTAAGCAACTGATGAAAAACCACATGAAATAAATGACTTTAATTTATTCTGCTACATATTTTGTTGTTGGTTTAGTCGAATTTATCGATGGAAAAAATGTATGAAACAAAACCTATATTTCGAGTTAGATATGTATAGGTTAGAGAAGTTGTATGATACGGGTCGAAATTGGTCCCAATGTTTCAGATAGATTCACTATTTTTCCACTTTAAGATTCCGAGTTTTAATATAATCTCATACTATTTTTTTCTGACAATTCATTCGTTCCTCTCGAATTATATTGTTGATTGCTACTTAATCTTGTAGTACAGATGTGATATGGTGAATTCGACTAATGAACATATGTGCCGTGCTGTATGTTGCTTTTATCTTACTGGCTAATATTTCATTTAAATCGTGGACCGATTAAAGTTAGACCACTAGCAAATACCTAGAAGCACTGAATGACTATTTCGTCCCAGTATCGGACTCTACAGCACCGCGCATTCTTCACCGCACATGCGGTAATCGAACCCAGGAGCTTAGGTACTCGAGATATTTATCTAATTATTCTACCAGTCAAATATTTCCACAACAGTAAAAGAAGTCATTTTATTATTGATAGTTAATAAAATCGGAAATCTAGCACTAAAAAATAAAGGCAATTAAATGTTAAAACCAATAATAACAATAAAAATCATGTACTATCATGAACTACTTGTTCAACTTACCGATAGAACATTTTACGTTTTGTTGTCAACACTACACCTAATCGTCTCAGTTCATCTTCTGTGCCGGATAGGGTTGTTTCCAATATGGAAAACTGTGAACCAAGACCAAGTGTTAACATCATGATGAAAAATAACACTGACCATAAACTAGGCAGAGGCATATTTGTCATCGCTTCAGGATACACAACAAAAGCGAGTCCAGGACCTGAACAAATGTTTTTTGTTGAATAGAAGAAAATGGCTAATGTTTAGTCAGCTATTCACAATGGCTAACATTTAATGTGATTTCATACATTTGTATAACAGAGGAGAAAAAAGGCAGGGATTTTCAAAAGTAATGATTAACGGAGCGTTAACTGTGCAAAGACTTATTACTATTCCATGTTCTGCACAAAAGATGCAGACAGACATTCAACTTGATCTTTTATAGTACGGGGTTTCGGAGGTTGTTGAGTTTCATTGTATTCATCACGAATCCATTAAAAATCCGGAAGCACTTAAGCCCCGTTTAGTCCTAGTATGAAACTCTTAAATAATGCACACTAATGACCCTGATAATGGATATCTTAAGGGACATTTATAATTAGTAGCTACACTTAAGGAAGTATAGGATTTCGCGTATCTGGTATACATTCATTTTTTGCTTGACCTTGAGCTACCTTGTTCATTTGAGGATTACTGATGTTTATCCGGCTCCTCAAACTGAATAAGAACCATAGTTAGAACGTGTGACCAACTGGTTGAGAGGCGGACTAGGTGTGTAAAAATGTCACATGTTTGTTTGAAACTAGCAAAGCATAATAACAGGGAAAGTTTAGGAAATGACTAGTTAAACAATTGTCAAAACGATTTTCAATCGTAGCATCTTTCGAAACGTCTACAGTCTGAAAATGGTTAACATTCTCCTTAATTAACTGTTTACAGCTTCTCTTACATTTTGTGCGTTCTATTTTCCATTTGAAGTTCAAGGGACGAAGACTTTTGTGAACTAAAATAGCAGTTCAGTGTACAAGATATTTCATCACCGAGTCCCATAGAAACAAAGATTAAATTGAAGTAAGGTTTAATAGCATTTGATTTTTAGAAAATTTATCTAGCTATGAAATAAAATTGAAAAGTATAATTTCAGTGTTGTATGTAACAAATCGTTTTGTGCAAAAGCAAACAAAAGTGTTACGAAATGAGTTCAAATATAACGACTACTCATTGATGTCGTAATAAAAATAAACGTTTTTATGGTATTTAAAGTAGGCTGAATAGCTGTATCCCTTCCCCATTAATAGGCTCTCTTCAGTATTGTAATAAATGCTCACAAAAGAAAAATTCTAAGTCTCAAATCTATGTCACAACAGAAAATTGTAAAACTAGAAATAATTGTATTCTATCGAGCCCGTATATAATGACATAATCTGCCATTTGACATACCAGCTAAGTGATAGGCTGTGCGAATCCACATACACCAAGTGTCTGTGTTCACACAGGACCTCATGGTCGAACCGTACATGAGCGCTGACTAACAAGGGGAGCTTTTACACGTAATCATCGACCATTTCGTTGTCTAGATCAGAAAAATGGAGCTATAAACACCCATGATTTATGTACACTTTATTTGGTTTTGGTATTTACAGCTTTCTAGTCATGCTTACATGGTATCCTCGCTCATATTTCAGATTTAGCAAGCGTATGGGGTGTGTGAATCGGAATCTCAGTCGGACGACCGCTGAATGTGGTAACACGTACTTCAACTCTAAGAGTCCGCTCCTTATAAGTAAGGTAACATAGACGAATTACGCGGACAGTTTTATATCCCGGAGAAAAGAACTTAAAACTAATGTGTATTTACAGACATATAACGCTAGGGCTATTATTAATCTTCAAATATTCACTATAGTACTGAACAGATGATGATATACTACCATAGTCCGAAACTACAGTCAATCAATTCTTTAATCCAGATCGTATCAATTTGCATTACAAAATAAATAGGACGCTAGTTATCAATTAGATCGATAAAAATCTGATTGTGTGTTGACAACAAAACTAGCCAAATGTCATTTACGTACTAAGTTTTCGAAATTTTGACATTTTCAAAGTACATTTTTATACATACTTATCTAGCTGTAAATAAACTCAAACAGCTGAAAAGTATCAGTGATAGACAAGTATATACAAGACGATATATTTAAATACAAGGAATAAACTGTCAACTCACCGGATGTCGCCACTGCAGCGACTGTTGTATTCTTTGTTAAAGCCATAAAACCCAAATTGCTAAAAATAACAAATCCAGCGTATACAGAAGTTGCACAATTGATGATAGCGAATATTACAGCATCCCTGTTTTTTTAATGGAGAAAAGTGAAGATAAATGAGGTTTCAGTAAGAAAAAACCTGACGTTTTCGATGTTATAAGGCATTGTATTTCCCATAAGTGAGACTTTCCTTTGACAAGATTAAATTTTTTTCAGTTGACTCGTAAATAGACCAGAAAATATTAATGATATTTTTTAATTCATTTAATTTTGGTGGATTACCTATCTAAATGTCAACTATGATGAGGTTTGCTGTAGTCCAGAAATTTTTCATTCTGGCGAGAAGTGTTTCATATTTGAGTGTATTTTTCATATCGTTTGAAGAGTTTGAAGTATTAGTTATTAGCAATTATCTGCTAAGGACGATTCAGTGTTACACAGTGAAACGAAAATGTAGAGTGAAATTTCTAACGAAGATTATACACTTTTAAACACAGTATTACTCACTAACCAAATGAAATGAAAGTTGCTCGATAGGTTTAGGAACAACGCATTTATTGAGGACTAAAAAAGTTGTGGATAAATTCAGCCGTCAGATATGACAGCCAATGAGGACATTTTTAGCGCTTTCTTCATGTAGAAGTGAACGTTGTAATCATTCAATTCATTCACCTCCAGTTCGTCTTTCGTTATAATTGATACTTTATCAATTTCAGCAAAAGATATATGTTCAGTCAACATACCTTCAAAAAACCAACCTAAAAAAAATGTAATCAATATCACGAAGTTCTCTAGTAACAACATCATTCGCAAATCAACTGTCATTTCAGTCCACTCTATGTAAATCAAAAGACGCAACAACAAAGGTAGAGAAATACATTATTTACAAAACAAATTGGACCGACTGCTATGAGTATTACATTGGACAAAGTGGGTGGACCCTTGACCAACGCATAAGTGAACACAGATTAGCAATGGAGTACATGAAAAATTGACAAATTTTGGATCAGAGAAACTCTTAGGATGTCAGAAAATTTCTAAAAGCATGGAGCTCAGATCAATTAGAAAGCAACAAGCAAATCGACGCTAGTCCAGTCTATGACCCTATGAAGATAAGAGTAATCAATCACAAGATCGGTAGTCAACCAACAATGACGGTAAACGTGAATTTAAAGGCATGTGAAGATGGTTAAGCCAATTAAGAATGTCAATCACTAAGTTACCCGAATGAACCTATATAACAGTTGTGGAATAATGTGGAATTTTATTTTCCCATGAAGTAAACGCTGAAGATATTGTTCAGAATCGCAATGAAAGCTTAGCAATTAAATTATCTAGCTCGGGGAAATCAACACCATCAAAATCATCCACCGTCCACGAATGTTTACTATCATTAAGTTGTTTTAGTTTTGTTTCGTATGGATCATAGCAATTGCCAATTTGATAAAAAGAACATCTGATTAAAAAACAGCAAAACACCACATGACTGGTTACAAATACTATCTTTTTCGACATTTTCTGACGCATCATTCACGTGGTCATCTTCAAACATGGAAATCATCAAAAAGCAATGTACTGTTAGTTTATATACATATCGTAAAACATGGTGTTTGTCACGATACCAATCAACACATAAGTATGAGAAATTAATTGATCGTTATTTCGGATCGGTGTAGTGTATGACAATCTATTGAATGGCGTTGAAATATAGCTGACAATTAAGATAATAAGAAAGTTCTACAAGACTATTTTTGTTAACAAGTATATAACCAAATTCTTACAAGAATAACCACACTATTTAAGGGATACTGCTACTGGTGAGAAATTGGTTCAATAATTAACAGAAATTTCCGGTTGTCTGTGAATTCATCGAAATAATGATTTTGAGATAGCTTCTTCCAACTTATCTGTTGTTATTGTTAAAAACAAGGAATTGTAACTTTTAAATGTTGATATTGAGAACCGCAATTGATCAGTCTCCATCGACATATGTGCATTCTGAGTGAACTGATTGCAGTGATACAGCCTTTTCAGCTCCACTGGTAGTCATAATGAAAATATACTAATTCTTACCTGTTATGTTTTCATTTTCGAAAATAAACAACTAACGGATTTGTCACTAAGTGTAGTGTACTTCTTAAGAGCTTCTAGGGTCTCATGGTTACATAAAAGTTTATGAAGAAAATTGTTTTCCTTTTATTCATTCATTTATGAATGAATAAATTTTCTTCTATACTTTGCACCTTTATTTTAACTGTTCAACGTTTAAGAGTAGGAGAAATTTAGGAGCTAGGAAGCGGCAGAGAAATCAGTTTTTCAGCATTCAACTTCTACATATAAACAATTAGTAACTGAAAGATGACTGATTAAATAGGCAGTTAGAAGTTTGACTAGTATATAAGTGATTTTTATATTAACAACATATTAAAAGACTTGTACTATTCTTCCACAAACCACAGGCAAAGGATTCTAAGAAATTCTATCAGGGTTCTTAACATAATACTAATAAAAACTGATAGAAGTGGAATAATAATGATATTAGCAATAATCAAAAAGACATCAACTAACTACCATCAGTGATTCAAAATCTTAATGAGTGTGAAAATGTAAGTTATCAGTTAACAAAAGTATGATTGAACTAAAAAGATTGATGACGACCTTTCTCGTGATAGTGAACAGATTGCTTTTTCACCTAGATTCAGTGAAAATTGGATATGGCTATGAATATGAAATTGTTTTTAACAAAACACATCTATATCCACGCACAAACTCTCATAAACTTCCATAAGGAAATATTTAGAGTTATGAAACATGAAAATCTGATGGTTTTCTAATTATAAGTGCTGGAGGGTTAATTTAGATTACTTTGATAGTTAGTATGCGCCATATTACTTTCTGAAAATAACAAAACCGACAAAATCAACAATAAGTTATGGTACACTTATCATGCTTCATTCTACGTTGGGTCCAATAATAGTTTGTCCGTTAAGCATATGCTCACTGAAAAATGTATATCAATTGTTGTAGAAAATTGTATACAGGTTAAAATACTTATGAACTTAATCAAACAGCTACCGTATACCATTTCAATTCTTGATAGTGTTTCGTTCACACAGGTGAAGCAATCTGCCTAAAGTCTTTTTAGGGTTAATGTCGGTCCCAGTCCCGGATAAAAAAAGGAAGGTTGGGGATGCGGCTAGCAGCCTCATCCCGTAGAACACAACGCTAACCAGGAAAAACAATTTAAAGCATTTAAACTCTTCCCTGGATGTTGAAGGGTCTTCGTTTAGAAGAGTTGTGATAGCTCATGGTGAAAGACGGGATTCTTCGGAAACCACGAAGCCGATGACCATCCTAACAACCAGAGAAAAAATTAACATAGATACACCGAATGTCCAGACAATATAGGAAACCGGATGAACCAGTCAAATGGCTGAGGAAATGAGGAGATACAGCCTGGAGGTGCTTGGAATAATTAAGACATCAGCTAAGCAGAAAAGATTAGCTTCGGTCATGAAAATGTCTTGCACACCCAAGTAGTTGCAATGGTGCTGTCCAAAGATGCACAAAAAGCAGTTATAGGATGGGAATCTCATAAATCCAAGATCATCAAAGCATTTTTTTAAAACAAGGGACGTGATTAAGATGAACATCATCCAGTGCTGTGCGCCTACCAATGATAGCAGTGGAGACGATAAAAATCAGTTTTATGATGGTGTGCAATCGATTGTTAATAAATGCCCAGATTGGACAAAACTGACCTTGATTGCTATCCACCTAGTGAATCAATTTATGTAGACTTCTTTTATTATTTATACCTCGTTTGATGAGATTGACTTAGCTAAAGAAATATAGTTATCATGTCATGGATTACTTGATAACTACAGATAAACGATACCATCAATAGTAAATGAACTAGGAAACATGTACTTTCTTGGGATAAACATGTATGAAAGAGGCTGGCATAGAACAGCATTTCGGTAAATAATGAATTTTAGTTTGACAAGTAAAAATGAGTCATCTAAATGATTTTGTTTATCTTCGGACATATTCAAATAATTAATATTTATAACAAATAGGTATGAATAAAAATTGTTGTAGTGTAGCCGATTAATACTAATTTCAAGTAAACCAAATTTCCATCAATATCAGTGCAGTTCTCTGTGTTATGACCAGAGAAATAAATGATTATGACAAACATTGAAAGTTACTCCTAATTATGTGCTTTCAATTAACTCGTGAACTATTTTTATACCTTCTACGATCCCTACATTATTGTAAATTAATTATAAGCTTTATACCATGAATGCTCACTAGATAGATATTGTGATTTCTTATTTATAACGCATTGCGATTCTGTAATTGATATGTTTATAATTATGTGAGTTTTTGTATTGGATTTACAGAGGTAATATAAGGGTGTCTCATTCTTGAATTCTAATTAAGGGCTTAGATACGGAGGAATTTTGCGTAAGCCGATAAGTCTTAATACATCAGATCATTGAATTCTAGAATCAGTATTATTGATTCAAGCAGAGCAAACTCAAATTTACATCAGACGCCCATGCTGTTTTCATTTTACAATGTTTACATCATATGATAACCTCAAACTAATTTCGCAACTTCAACAGCTTTACCGGAATAGAGGGTTTGTAGAAATCAAGTTTTACAACAGAAATAATGAAGCCTGTCAGGATTAAGTAGTTTGATAAACCTTTTTTGTTTTTACGAAGTCATCAGTTTTGTGATCTTAACACCGTAGATATATGCGTAACATAACCTCATTCATCCTAGTGAGAATTCACACTAAAGGTATTAGTCTAAATCTCTTTCAGTCAAATAATTTTAGAGAAAATTCAATGTTACCTATAAAAAATCTTTATTGACAAATTTGTTTGAGAGTTAAGCCTTTTACATAATGAAAGTGATAAGGATAGTATAGTAGAGAGACAAACTTAAGACAACTGTGTCTAATTTTAAGTCACTTCTAAAACCATTCAGAAAACACCTTTGATAAGTGGACAGTTTATGTAGAAAAGCTATAATTTAATAATGCGAAAAGATTTTACATAATCATGAACCCATTAGTCTTCTATAGGTTACTCTGCCTGTGAATCGAAAAATCAAAATTTTTAGAGTACTCATATTGTTCTTGGTCAAAATCAGGTATAGGATTGGGGCATTTACCACATGTTCTATAGACATGTTGGTGTATGGACTTAGCGGAAAATTTCATGGGGGTTTACAATAAATTAAAACAATCCTTCCAAAAATGCCTATTTCAAGATTAAGTGTTAGTATTTAGGGATAGTGACGATTCACCCGTAGCCTACATATAAAGGATTGAGCGCTGGATGTGTTGTACACAATATGGTAATAGAAATACATTCTTCATTTTCAATCTAAACTTTGTGAAGGATATAAAGTAGCTTTTGTACAATTGTTAATACTTAGTATATGAACTTTGCACATAATTCTGATGGTTGCATTCACGATTGTGATTGACTCGTTTCAATATTATACTTTCACCGATAAAAGTTATTTAACTCGGTTTAGGTTGCAGTGTAAATGATGACCCTAAAGTATAGGTACCTCAGCCGACGGGTTTCATATAAAATAAGGTTTCTACCCTAGATTCCATAAATAACTGCGATCCAAAAATATCATCACTAATTTCAATAAAAAAAGTTTTACTGAGGTACGGAAATACCGTGGAACGGACAAATAACAGGTGGGCGAATAGTCTAAAGTTTGGTTATTTATCACGATAAACTTGATAATATTCATATAATATAACATTAACTCAATGAATTGTTACGTTCAAACACGTAATGTATGGTCAACTAATTAACCATAAAACAGTGCCAAAATAAAAAAAACAACAGAAAACTGTAATGACAAAACTGTAAAAGGATCTAAAAGAAAAATTGAGAGAACTTGAATGTACTTTAGTTTTTTTTTTTAAAGTGAGTTTTTATATCAATTCAATGTGTTCAATTAAGCATCAGTGACAATTGATATTTTGTATAACATGTTAATAATTATTTCAATTGTACACATGTTTCAAATGACTTCGTTATGATAAAATGTTATTGTTTCATAATGGTAACTAATTAATTTATTCATAAGAGTTATTCCATTCAAAACTGAAATTTTAGCAATTTAAAAATGATTTATTATTATTATTTTTTAAACAGATAATTTATAACTTAATATTTTACTCTTTTAGTTATTGAGTAATGAAAATGATCATTATCGTAATCCAGTGGACAAATAATAGTGTTTTAGATAACTAATTGACGATAATTGAAGATAGACATGTAAACTGTTGGCTATCGGATTAAATCTGACATGGTAACTAACTAAAAGTGTATTCCTGAAATTATCAAGACATTACATATGTAAGCACTCCCTCAACCCTCGTACTAATATTTGACAGTTTCATACAAACATGTATTATGAATGTTATACATTACACCTAATTAAATCATTAACTTCACCTTAATTGCCGTAATGTATATAGAACATTATATTAGTTTAAATTAATCTATTCAGTAAACCAGTACATTAAGGAATAATCAAGAACAAAATATATGAAACGATAATTATAACGATTATTTCTACTTTCCTATAATCTTTACTTATAATCAATTTTGAAACTGGATAACAATAGCAAAGATGTAATTTCAGTCTTGCTTTCGAAAAATAACAACAACAACAACAGCAAAAACATCTTATTGATAAAAAATTGAAAATTATGCCTTTTATAGTAAATAATTAAATAGAACTACAAAGAAAAGTACATTGATTGAAATATCATAAGACTAGGAATAATTCCATGAAATTAAAGATGAATATTTATTGGGATCAAGTAGCCAGATCATTTGTGAGACAACAATTTAGAAATATGTGAGAAGGGGTTTTGTGGATATTGTAGCAACTTCAATGGTTGAGATCATGAGTCAATTGGAGCTAGACCACCGTGGAAAACCTGGAAGCACTGGACGGCCATTTCATCCTATTGTGGGACTCCTCAACAGTGAGCACCTACGATCCCGCCTCACGAGATTCGAACCCAGGACATATGAGTCTCGCGCGCTCGAGCACTTAATCACTAAACCACTGAGCCAGTATCCAACGGTGTTAATGTCTAACTTCAAACAGAAAAAGCGAAATTCCTGAAATTGTAAACTATCTTTTAATACCTGATAGTTCAATCGGTCCATTATTATTATCATTATTATTATACGCATTACTGTCATTAATACGTTTTAGAATGTTTAAATAAACAGTTACATATTGTATGGTTTACATTAAAAACCAACTTCAATCAAACAAGAAGCAAGATGAATTGAACTGTTATTTTGGTATAGTATAAAACTTGAAAACAATGAGCAGTTCATAGCCTCGCTAAGAGTAGAACACAGGACTACTGTAATTGATTTCCGATTGATCACATATGTACATAATTTCAGTTCCTAACTAGGAAGAAATAATTGTTGAATAAACCCTGATTGTCAGTTGGGTTGTTATTAAAAATATTATTCAGTTATGTGAAACTTCACCTGTAGCTCTTCCAGAGTTACTGCCGGTCCCAAGCCCAGGTAAAGGAGGAGGGTTGGGTATGGGGTTAGCGACCCCACTCCATAGTAAACTAACCTGCCGTTATGTAAACTATGAAGTCAACAATCATCATGAATTCCCTAGATTAAAATTATTCCATATTTTTTTCAACTTACCTACAACAGTTATTCTTAAATTTATTATAACTCGACATTGTTATCAAACCACCGTTGCAACAGCCCAAAGAGAAAAAAATTTGTGTAGCAGCATCAGCCCATACTTGTGGATCTTTTAAACGTGAGAAATCAGGTGTCAAATAATATAGTACACCATCTTTGGCACCTGGAAGAAGTACACTTCGTATTAAGAGAATGGTTAACATTATATATGGAAATATGCCTGTAAAATAAGACACCTGTAGAAAAGAAAACAGAAAGTTTGTTCTAACATCGTGATTATCTATGTGAATAGTTAAAATGACATTTGATTTTGAAAAGCATGGATTGATCAGTTATTACTAATTCGAATCAGTATTGCGTAAAAGTATTGAAAACCAAGCAACTTTGGTTTGTGATGTGTCCACTAATGTATGTATATATTACAGAGAGGTGCACAAACGGATACACTAATCGCATAACTCTAAACCAGTCATGAAAACTTAGATCAGTTCACGCTTCAGTATTCCTTGGAACCCTATTCCATTCTCGATTCTCAAATTGTAGTGATGTTCTGATATCTTGAAAAAATCTAGACGGGTTGCTGGCTGTCGTAAAGCTTTGTTATAGATGAGGGGTTCAAATATAAGTGAGATATTCTGAGTTATTTATCTACCAAAACCATCACCCACATTTTTCGATTTGGGTCAGTTAAAAAAATTACACAAACGTGTTACTTGTGAACAGTATAATTTTGTTTGAGCAACACAGCTTCCTACGTGGTTTTGGTTTTAGTCCCCTAATTCGCATAGTAGACTAGTCAATAAGTCGAAAAGGGTACAACTGTTGACGAATTGAACTGGAGAATATAACACTATCATTTTTATACTTCAGACGTCCATCAATCTTAATCCATAAATACATTTTATGTCTTGTAATGATATGCCTTTTGATTCAATGATTATGTATAGAAAATGCAAATTCTAATTACTCAAATATATGAGGCGAATTAATTATCCGGATCGAAAGAAATATAATGATTTCATCATCGATAGTTGGATGACGAAAATTCCTGTCATCAACAAAGATACAATATAATCAATAAATCAACTAACAAATATAAACACCAATCGGAAGATAACAAGACAAACTTATTATGATGCACTACCCTACCGAAGACAATGGAAGGTGGTCGAGCAATGACGGGGTTTGATTGAATTTAAACATTAGCATCGTTAGGTGTTGACTCAGTGATCCAGATGTTAGGCTTGGGTTCAAGTTTAGCTTATGGGATATCGTGGTTGTGTATTGCTTAAAAGTCTAATTTTAGAACTAAACGGACGTCCAGTGCACCAAGTTTTCAATGTTGATCGAGCTTATGTCGGTTCATGATTTCAATGGAACTTGTTTTAATTCATCTAAACACTAATAAGTTGGATTCATACTTTTGAATTACATCATCTTACTATGTTCACTGTTTATATTGTTCGTTAAATATAAAAGAACTACAGAAATCAAGTCACCTTTAAGACATTAATGTGTACTGAGTATTATTTTTAAAATTCTGAAGTACATAAACCACTTACTTTACCAAGTGATTGTACACCTTTGATAACAGCTAATGCACAAATTATCCAACAAGTCAATAAACATAATGTTAATGACCAACTTGGTGTACCGAATTCTTCAAGACCAGAGCTTAATTTAAGTACTTCATTACTAAAGTAAAATGGATGAAAACAATTGAGTTAAATTTCAAATGGTGATAGATGAATAGCTAATTCGATGGGTACTTCGGGGAATCCAGCTTATAAATGTCAGGTACAACAATATATGAAACTTTAATTACCAAATTTATTTATTTATTTTTACAGATGTTATTTGAGTTGAGTCAAAATTAAATCATGGCTCATTACACCTACTTTCTAGTCGAAGCGTAATCTGATTACGATAACTCCATTCACTTTCGTTTCATTAGATGGAAGCTAGAAATTATTAAAAATGGTTAGTTAAAATGTAATAAGTTTAATAGTCTAAGTAAAAAGCCGAGGTTTGGTGTACTTTGATACTCGTCAAGAAGGTTCATCTTCAATCTTTATAGAAAAATTCTATTCCCAAATCAAACTGGTGGTTGAGTTTTTCATTGTCTCATTCAGAGATGGTACTTCAGTGCTATTGAGTTAGTGACCAAGTTAACTGTGAATAGATTTTGTTGTCCAGCTAACGAAATTGAAATGGATGAAGCATTAGTATAGCTTATATCATTGAACGTCATTAATTTGAAAAACATGAAACTGTGGATGAATAGTTATGTTGTTAAACATAAAACAAACAAGGAAGCCGTTAGATGTATAAAGAGCGAAAAAAACTTATTTTTCATAAACTATGTACTGCTCACAAGTAGTAATCTTCTGATGGAGCTTTAGGATTTGTAATATTCGTAAAGTTAGCTATAAAATAAATAAAAGAATGTATATATGTACATAGTTTATTAAGATTAAAAGCTGGATCAATTAGAAATGAAATTCTCTTATGTGTAGTGTCAAATAAAAACGTCACAACTGTAAATTAATCTAATTTACAAAAATTAAAATGGTTTTAATTAGTAGACAGTTATTTGAAGTGCGGACAATAGCTGAGGCTTAATAACAGATTCGAACGACAAGAGGTAATAGTAATTGTCTAACAAAGTTGAATAAATGTTTAAGATTCGATTTCGACCATTATCTATTACGTTGTTCAAAGCTATAGTTGATTCATTCAATACACTAGACTCTTACGATGTCTTGCAACAATACATTTTCATTCTCAAAGCTGAATTCATGAGTAAATCTGAGCTAGACCACCGTTGGAGACCTAGAAGCATTTGACGGCCGGTTCGTCTTGGTATGGGACTCCTCAGTAGTGCACATCCACGACCACGTACGCGAGACTTGAATCCAGGACCTTCGGTCTCGAATGCGAACGCTTAACCTTTAGACCACTGAGATGGTTTATGACGGTGTTAATAGCTAACTTCAAATGATCCAGTTTCATTCATTTGCGTTAATTGCTCGAATCTTCCTATTGATGTTTTAGGACTGTGATTGATCAGTTCCTTTTGACATATGTGCATTCTCCATGGATTGCCTCTATGTTGTCATCCAGTCACGAGCGTTATAGGCGGGGATAGATGGCAATTAGTTATAGAATTCAAGAAGTGTGTTTCGTCCCATTTGGGACCTTTCAGCTTGATATACTTCATCACTGAGTTGATGTTCTTTCCGGAACTCACTCGATACAGTACACTGAAAACGCTTTCACACTATTCAGCTTATTGTTGGTTGATTGCGTTGTTTTCTGACAAACTATCGAAAATACATTCCACTTGTCAAAATAACAATAAAACTCCAAGTCTGATAGCAACTTACAACATGCTTCACAACTTGTCAAGACGACATATAGGCAGAAAAGCGGTTTAGACACAAGTCAATCAGAATCAAGAGCGAGACTTTTTGTGTGAAATTTAAATATCAGGTACAACGAGGGATAGAGATATCCTTTTATAGCTCTCTGTGTTAATAATAAGCGGAAAATTGTTTTAGCAATCACAGAGTGAGGCCGATAGTGTTTAGTGCATCAAATGTTTAGTCCCGTCTTTTTGGATTATATATAACAAGCCAAAAGTCACCATTATCTCTTAATCCTGAAACAACCCTTAACCTGATAGCAATAAATTTTACGGACGAACTAATTATATAGAGCCTAAATTTATTCATTCATTACTTACTTACGCCTGTTACTCCTAATGGAGCATAGGCCGCCGACCAGCATTCTCCAACCCACTCTGTCCTGGGCCTTCTTTTCTAGTTCCATCCAATTCCTGTTCATTTTCCTCATGTCTATTTCCATTTCCCGGCGTAATGTGTTCTTTGGTCTTCCCCTTTTCCTTTGGCCTTGAGGATTCCATGTGAGGGCTTGTCTTGTGACGCAGTTGGGTGCTTTCCCCAATGTGTGTCCTATCCACTTCCAGCGCTTCTTCTTGATTTCTTCCTCCACTGGGATCTGGTTTGTTATCTCCCACAGCACGTTGTTGCTAATAGTGTCCGGCCAATGGATCTGAAGTATTTTGCGTAGACAATTGTTAATAAACACCTGTATCTTCTGGATGATGGTTTTCGTAGTTCTCCAGGACTCCGCCCAATACAGTAGGACTGTCTTGACATTTGTATTGAAAATCCTGACCTTGATGTTGGTTGACAGTTGTTTTGAGTTCCAGATGTTCTTCAGTTGTAAATATGCTGTTCTTGCTTTACCGATCCGCGCTTTCATATCTGCATCAGATCCACCATGTTCATCAATGATGCTGCCCAGATATGTAAAGGTTTTTACATCTTCCAAATCTTCTCTGTCAATTCTGACTGGATTGGTGCATGCTTTATTCATTCATATGCATTAAAATTATTTTTGTATTATGGCTGATATCAGTTCATGATGAAATACTTTAACCCTAATTCAAAACAATGTGGTGATTCTCAAAACTGTGTTTGTATCCTTGTAAGGGTCGGAGAAGACTGACACTCTACATCCTTAAAATTTTAAATGTTGTTTTTCGACTTACAGACATATTGACCTGTAGAAGAATTCAATAGGTTCATTGGTTGTTGAAAATCTGTTTACACTCTGAAATTTAATTTTGTTTTCTTTTCTATAAATTATCCATTTGTAAAAGATTTCCACTGATTGGCTAGAAAAATGCTGAAAATTCGTCGTTGTTGTTCTAAAGTCGTCCCAACATGCTTCAGTAGATGAAATATTGATAATCATAAATGCTCAAATTCACCGTCACTCAAGTACATATACAAAAGTTGGTGTGACAGTGCTCTTAGAACTATTTTTACAATTAACTCTAACAATCGACTTTAGAAAAGATTTATTCTTTTACATAAAAGAAATACAACTACATACTAAACATTACGTAACATCTCAGCTGAAAGACGATTGTCCAAGCATGGCACTCATCAGTAGTGCGCATCAGAACTGTTATCTACTTAAAGTTATTTGCAAACATGTGGTTATGAATTTGCCAAAATAGACATAAATGAATGTAGAAGTTACAACATTTATTGATAACACTTACCACGAGATGCATCCATACAATTCGGACTACTCCAAGACGGATCGCAATCTGTCCAAGGTAATCGGCTTGTAAAACTAGCGCATAAAAAGTACAAACAATGCGCTACAACAATTTGATAGTATACAACAAGTATCCATGATAAAATGACCATTGCATAACCAATGCCTGGAGGCAGAAAAATGAAAAGAATTTCAAGAGACGTATTATTATTACTATCATTCATAACATAAATAAATAATGTAAGAAGCTGAGACCAGTGAAGCTAAACCATGTCAGGTGTGAATAAAGATGCAGAAGACAATTTCAGATGGTTGCAAAATCTTTTCGATTGAAGTTAAATTTGTGTACAGAGGTCTGGAGATTAGGCTTTTGCGCGTGAGATAGAAGGCCCAGGGTTTGATTCCCGATCGTGGCATCGTGGATGGGTGAGGAGTCTCATACTACGGAACAGTAGTTTATGATGGTCGTCTAACTTTTATCGGTCCGTGATTTCAATGGAACGATACAATTGTTGCATCTTCGACTAACCGTAATGAACAGAGGAAAAGGTTTATTATGGTTTATTACTAAATATTAAAATAAACTGTAACTCTGTTTTTATAATTTAAAAACATTTAAGACCGATTAAAAATATTATATCAATTAATTCAAGAGCTAATACAAAATTGTTGATCATCTGAATGCGTCTTTAGAGCCAATCTAAACTGACCTTTTGCTCCGACCGCACTCCAATATATTCAATAGTACGACTTTGCCTAGAAACCTTGGGTTTACTGTCTTTCCTGTTCTCGCACATAAACTGCTCTGCCTGGGGCATTAGGACTTAAGGAAATGAGTGTTTCAGACATTATAGCTCGATTGAACCATCATAATAGGCAAACTCGACCACTATATCAAGGTAGCAGTTAAGGTAAATTAAGAGTGATCACACTTATAGAAAAAGAGGCTGTTTCGTAAAGATACATTTCCTCAATACCAAACAAGAATTACGTAAGGTATTTTTAATCATATACGTGAAGGAGAAATATGTAAATTTAAAACAAAGCTCATCTTCTTATAGGTCGCACAGTCTCTGCATTAGTAGTCTTCAGAAATCTGTTAAATAAGTGGGAACCATATAACATTTCAGTAACTACAGTAAGTGATGAGCATTTAATTTCTGAAGATAAGTGGGAAATGAAGTTGAATTATGCATAATAGAAACGCATTTCTGGAATAGACAAATCTAAAAAGACTATCATGAAAGTCCGTGAGTGAAACCATCTTAATCATAATACTTCAATTTATACGAATATAAGAACTTAGCAATAGAATGATGATTTATTAAATAATAAAAATTTCTAACATTAAATTCCAAAACTACTCACCTTTAAATAATGGACTAATATTCCAAACTGATATAGGACCCAAACTTGCAAATTGACCAAATGCGAATTCAAGAAAAAATAACGGAAGCCCAAGTAATATCAACATCAAACAATAGGGGATGAGAAATGCACCTACCATTAAAATTATATAAATTTTAAAAAAAATAAATTGAATTATCACTGAGAATTCTGTATCTTTTGTTAAACCAAACTGATGTAATCAATCCATACTGAATGATAAAACCATCATAAATGAATTCGATAAAACTGTTGTAAAATGATGAATTGATAACATGGAACATGAACGAAAGGTGTAATTTCTCAGGCTAAAATTTCTAAATGAAACTTAAAAAATGACGTGAATACTACAAAATTTCCTTTAATGGAATAAAAATGAAATGGAACTGATTCCATTATTTAGAAATAAACTGAAATAGATGAATTTCCCCAGATTATTTACGAGTTCATATAAAAATGCTTACTGACTTGCATATAACACGAAGAAGTCTTATAATTTAAATCATCATCTTGACCGTATATTGTGAGTACGAGTTTAATAAATAAAAAGTAACCGTCACTTTTGAATGAAGCTTGTATAAAAAGATAATTGATTTACTGACTAAATATTTTTGGGCTTAAATTTAGTTGTAATTCCTACAAAATGAAAACAGTATATCAACCAATAATTACAATAAATAGAACGATAAAGAAATATATAACTGTCGTGTGTACAGTAACTAAAAGTATGATGAAACACGTAAGTTTAATGTAATGTTATACCGTGGTGTGGGTTACTTACATCCACATAAGTAGTATATAACAGTGGTCAGGCATAGAATGTATTTCAGTAGAGGATCGATAAAGAAAGAATGAGAATGAAACGCAATTGGTATGAAAATGCATGAACAATGAAATCTGAGGCAATAGACCGATATTCGCTAAAGGAACAGTGAAGTTTGAAATGGTGGATTTATATTTTACAAATTAACTATTTACCATATGGTTCTCAGATTTTAGTGAGATGCTCTGTAATTCCGTTGTCTACACCCATGTTCTTGTTCACTACAATACAACATGGATGTAAAGTGCAGTCAATATATAAATAATTATGAACAAATGTATGACTTATATTAACTATTAAATTATTTGCCTACATAGCACACATCTCAAAGATTGATATCAAAGGATTTCTAAGCCTGATGGTTCATATATACACTACAATAAATAAAAAAATTAAACATTTACCGTACAGAGTAAAGACTAATTGCAAATCACATATTCCCATTGTTTGAAATATGCCCAGTAATTTAATTCAGTAAGCGAATTTCAGTATTCACGTTCATATTGTGACTCAAGTCCAGTTCCTTTCGCTTTAAAGAATTATCTCCTGAGTGGACCTAGATACTAACTAGCTCGGCGAGTGTAATAGTAATAGTAAGTTTGTAATTTCTGGAGCCAAAAATATGATGAAGCGCACGTCCTGGATCCCATTGCTAGACACATAACGAATACGGTAAAATATTAAGGCGATAGGCCAACTCCTGTTCAAGAGATTTGAACATGGAATTCGCGTATTAGATTAGAAACCGATCGTGATGAATAACAAACCCATAATAATACAAATGAACAGCGATCATCTAGTTTAATCTGTTGCACTAATACATCACATGATTTTGATAAAAATCATCCCACTACTAAAAAGTGACCAAAATAGAATGGTCGAAATCAACTTTTGTACGGAAACGAGACAAGATCATGAAAGTCGATGCACCTAAAATAAGCTAATTACGTCGATAAAGATTTTGTTTCATGCACTTTGCAGCGACCAGCTATATTAAAACGAAATGTTTGTAAAGTTCCAGTCAATCCTTGGACTAATAAGAACCCAAAAATGCACAGCTAACAAGGGTTCGATAAAATGTTCGAGGTTGCATGAAATGAGGCCGCTACAAAATCCAGGATTTGAAGACCGACCAAAATTTATAGCATATTCATAAACATATAATTTGAAAATAAGTAAACATCAAGCGATAATAGGCATGTCGTAAAATCCAAGCTAACTATCGATAGGTAACTTTTGATTACTAATCATCATACAAAACATTTAAAGATGAACATGCTGCTAAGTAACTATTCGATTATTGGACAGCATAAAGCCCGCACATCATCTTTTCCCTAATCCTATCCACTAAACACTCTCAGAATCATGAGATCAGTACAAAATTTACTTAGGTAAAAGATTTATTTGTTTATGACAGAAGATAACTAACCTCCACCGTTTTTATGACATAAATACGGAAAACGCCATACATTTCCAAGACCTACAGCATAACCAATACACGTCATAACGAATTCCAGTTTCCCATTCCAACCACCACGTGCTTGTTGTTTTTCTGAATCATATCTTACATCCACTTCATCTCCTTTTTCATCTTTTACAGTGATCTTACACTGTAATACAAAAATGGAAAGAAAGAAGTTTGAGTATATATAGCACTAGACGGTATAGATAATCAGAAACCAGAAAAAACACTACCTCACTTCAAGGTCAAACATTTAGCTCAAGTACTGTAAGTTTCTAAACTGGAACATGACTTAATAATATAATTGATATGAGATCTCGGTATGATATTATAATAAGTCTAATTAATGGAAGCTGTCCGGTAGTATTTACCTTTTTGTTGTAATTAGTACATGCTGCCTGTAATGTAACATGTAAAAATACGTAAATAATTGGCAACAATCTATGTTCATTATTCCTTATTCATATATCAAGAGTGATTTATGACAATGAACATAGAAATACTTACTTTGAACAAGTGTCCAGATAAATGAATTAGTGGTTAATTCATACAAAGAAGTATGACAGAGACTTAGGATGGTACGTTAGTTAGATTTATTAGCGAAGGATGATTATAACAGAAATATACGAACTGAAATTAACACATCTTAAAATTAAAGCATAATTTTCTGGCAACAAAATGTTGTAGGCATCATGAATAGATTACAACTTTTGTTCCCAAATGTTCATATAATTCCTAAGAACAAATCTAGTCAAGATACTCTAATTATTGCTAGATTTTTATGATGAAGCATTTTTGTAAATTAGCTGATTATATTCTTTGATGAATATGAGAAAGGCATCCTCTATGCAGTGAGATTCCTCAACAAACACTGTACAAAAGTACATAGACATATCATTATTTTTTGTAAATAAACTTTTTCTGTTGAATATAATAAACGTTCATGTCCATAGGCAAGAGAAAACGTCACTTCGCACTTACCGCTTCACCTGAATTTTCGTCAGTCAGCATCAGTGTAGGAACATGATTCTTAGTTTTATTAACTTCCTGAGGATTAGACGCGTTTTCGCTGTTCATCAACACGTCTAGACTGCGCAACCCAAAAGTCAATCAATGACGAGCAGGGAAATACTGACAAAGTAATTCTCATCACATTTGAATGACTTTTATATGGCCCTAAAAATGATGTTCTATGAAGTTCAACATCCGATCAATTTTTTTTAATAAAACACCAGATGGTTAACCAATCAGAATTTAGCATTGCGACATGCACATGAATTTTTACAACCAATAAGAACATCATTTAATTTATCCAATAATATACTTCCTAATGTCATAGCACTGATACTTTGATTTGCCACATATTTCATGAGCACCGTGAATTCGTGCTTCGTCCATTCAGCTAAACGGGATACAATAGAAAAGTGCCAACACAAAGAATCATTTGACAACTATGTACGCAACGGCGTTATGATAGTGTGAATTATAACTAGCAGTAATCGATGAGCCTGAAGACAAATACTACAGTTTTAATATTTGTATTGATGCATAATGTTTTGTATGAATGTAGGTATACTGTATAGGCATAGAAGCTACTTTCATGTGGAGTTGCCAACTTCAATCCACATGGGATTGTATTGAAGGATTATCACTTCATAATCTCTGGATGTTAATTAGGAACGCTATTTACTTGATATCCTAAAAAAGTTGGGTGATAACACTGTATCACCAAAGAGATAATGTAGCAGGAAGTATGGTTGGAGAATTATTCAGGATTAGTTTACTGATTCCCAAGTTATTTCTCGTTTTATTGACCGTAAGTGGGTGGTTTCACTTTATGTAACTATCTTGAAAAATAACCTAATCTCGTAGATAGCGGAATTTATGTGGTATGGTACACGACAATGATATAGGAAACGGAACTTGAACAAATATATCAATTATTTACTGACAAATCACTGCATAAAAACCTTATTTAACTTTGTGATCGAGAAATCCAAGGATTCATTCAATAGATTGGGAGGAGTGAATAGTAGATCACCACTACTGATCGATACGTTTTACGCTACACAAAAATACATAATACTCTGTTAAGGAAATTTTTAGTCTTATTCAATTAACACATTTACAGTCACTTGCCTCTTAATATATGCCATCATTCAACAGCTGAATTGTTTACTTAAGTCGCCAATTTATTTTGTGTAAGTGTAAAATAAGCTTAAGAATTAATCCATAACGGAGTGCATTTAATTATGTGGAGAAATAGTCCTGAAAAATGAAGGTTGATTCAAGGTGCAATGAATTACACGAGTGAAGAGACTGAGATTAATGAATACAAAATAAATAACTTTCGGCGTTTACAAAATGAATGATAATTTTGTTATGTTCAACAATTAACTTTACTTGAAATATAACAATCGTGATACTTCGTTACATCCAATCAACAAAATGCATAGCACATCACTGTTACATAAACTACGTAGTTAAAAGACTATTGAATTAATCAAACAATGAACATACATTTTGGTCAACTGTTTACATAGAAGAGTGATCAACTGAAGATTTTAGTTACAAAAATGAAAAATGGATTGAATAGCATAACATCAATCGGCTCTGCATTTTTATAAATGAAATCAAAAGATTTCACTAGGTATAAGTATGCTTTAGGCATGAGAAATCGAGTTAAATATATTGATTTCACATGTGTATACCTCTTCAGTTTATTCCAGATGTTTCTATCGTTTTCTATTTCCTGTTAGGATTTTCAGTGTATATTAAACAATTGGTAAATTGGATTTATTGATCAATTTATTTTGAACAGTTATCATATCCTTATTTAGTAATATGGATTAGTCCAATGGTTAAATACCTTATTTGTGTTTTGTAAACAGTAATAAGTTTAAAAAAAAGATAGATTTCGGTCATCATTAACATCAAGGATACGAGGATTGTCCTATTTGGAACAAGTCATTTAGATCGCAGTATTGATGTTCACTGCGCACAGAATCCACATATGCTGACTAAGACCCTTTAAAACTGAACCAAGTATACTAACAACTGGGTACCTCAAATCATACGAGCTCTTTATTCTTTTATTTAACATTTCACATATAATTTGTAGAGCTATTAATCTAAACCAAGTATACTGATTTTATAGTCAATACAATGAAAAAAGTTCAGCGATATTAGCAATACTTCGCAAGATCATGAGATATCAAAAGAAAAGCTAACCTGAAGGCTAGTGACATATAAAACAGTTTTAATGAGTACATTTAAATACATACCAATAATTATATTACCCTCTGGTAAATAGAAGGTCAGGGCGCACTTATTTAACTAGGAGTCCAATTGTTAATTACATAGTCGAGGAGACAGAGATGTCAGAACCATTTACAGTGCAATGTTTTGAGTACTGATGGTTCATTTTCGCTGTAATTTTGATGCAGCTCCTTATGATCTTTTGAGAAATTGTAGATGACCGCGAAAAGACACTGTAGTGACATAGATGAATTGATTTACTGAATTTGTCTTTACATAACAGATTGAAGAACCAATACTTGATTTCGATTTACTAATAGCGCTGAAAAATTCCTTTAGGTCACGTTTTTTACTTTATCCTTAAAAGTAGCTGTTTTTATTATAAAACGCAATAGGACAGCAATGTTTTGACTCTAGCGGAATAGCTACATCATTTGAATGTATTTAGGTAAAGTTAACATAAGTCACTGAGGATTGATTGTAGGGACATTCAAAATAGACAGCCGTACACTAAAAATTCATTCATTTGAAGAATGAAGGAAACTGGCATGCCTGACAAATATTTTACGTTAAAATCTGTAGATAATGGAAGAAAAAAAGTGAAAATAGTAAGTGAATGAACATATGTTTAAGGTAAACTAACTTCACCGGTTGAGGTAGTAGAATATTTTTCTTTATACAAAATATACAGTTTTCGTTCAGAAAACATAACTAATCGGCTTCCTTTCTCTCTACATCAACAAATTCGCTCAAACAGCAGGATTCTTTGAACAGAATCAAAGACATAAACATAGCCTAGAGATGTACATTGAAAGTATTTAACTAAATTTTCTAAACTGAACATTATATTTATGATGCAAGACAATCTACAAAAGTAAAGCTTTATGGGTGTATACAATCATTTGATGAATTTTGAAGTGCCGAAACTGATTGCTTTTGATATTTATTACAGTCACATTAAATTGATATGTATTCAATGACATTCAACCAGTGATGTGTTTAATCCAAATAAATAAATTAAAAGATTTCGTGATAAACATTGTAATGTACGGATATGTTAAGCCCACATGAAATGTGAATAAATATTATTTATGGAATTAACACACTTTGTCTGCACCTATTGTATGTTCCGCAGCTCAAGCTGGTTCTAGACAGTCTTCTATAACTTATCTTCTTATCGTACATTTATTGTGAACTGGCCGCGCTTTTGGCTTCCCGAGACTCTTGTCTTTGGCTGCATTTTGTAGTGACTTTCATGGGACTTACTAACTGTGGTGTTTGAATTAACTAATGATTCTTTTGTACTTGTTGAATGCTCGATTTCTAATTCTAAATACAATACATTCGTTCGTGCTTGTGTCGTAATTATTGATTCAACTGCGTTAATTCTGGAATTCCTAGTTCAAACGATAATTCAAATACTTTTCAACTATTATACTGGCGTCGCGATGGAGTATGCGATGGAAAAGTTAGATATTCATTCAACTTCTGAAGCTTTTGAGGATTATTTTGAAAAGTTTGAAATTTGGGCTATGACTAAGGAAGATGCTGAGGATGTTAATATTGTGGCACATTTCCTCACATTCATCGGAAAAGAATCATATAGCTTATTAAGAACTCTGGCCATCCCGGAAAAGCCTATCTCGCTTCCTTATACAACTCTCAAGAATCTACTGCTAGACTGTGTTAAGTATACAAACTTCGAATGCGGTAAAGGAGGAAGATCTCGTAAAGTGATTCATGAGAATATGAAAAATTCCATTGCATTATGTCATCCCAACCCAGTTCATACACAAGGTTATGCAGATAATTGTTGCGATGTAGTTCACGAAGATGGGCACAAGTTTAGTCAGTGTTTGTCCTGTGGCAAGTTCCACTCTTTTAGTTCGTGTAAATTTCGTAATTCTAAGTGCTTTGAATGTGGTGATATTGGACATATTCAGTCAGTCTGTAATACCAATGTTCATCTTATTGCAACTAATATTAAGTCTTGTAATTCTGATTCTACTGAGTCGAGTATTCATAATGATCATTTATTTTTATCAACGCTTTCAAAAGACAGTGTAAAGTCATGTAGCAGTTCGGAGTTAAATGAAACTCAGAATCCTTGTGAGACAACGGTTTCTAATCAATCAATTTGTCAGAATTCTCATGTTATTGTACCAGGTATGGCTTTTCCCAATGATTCACATATTTCTGATGAAATTCCTTGCAAATCTGAGGAAAATATGTTGAGTGAACCTAGTCATGACCGAAAACCTGATGTAGTTTGGATGGATGCCGATTTTTCTAATGATCCTTTACTCTGCAATGACATTTTTAATAAATTCGAGGAAACTATTTCAGAAGAGTCAAAGCTTGATGTCATACCAAATATTATTTGTTCTCATAATGCATTTGTTTCTTGTGGGAAACGTGTTCAATGTGAAGCACGAGTACTAAATGACCTCCATTTTGATTACAATTCGGATGATTTCATATCAACTGCTGTTCATCCTTATCACAAATCCACTTCCAATGTATACTCTAATCAAGTTGAGAAATATGTTTTAAATGAAGCCACATTATTCATAACTTTGGCATATAAAGATCCAACGTTATTTCGTGAGGGAGGATAGTGTTGAAAAATCTATGGTTCGAATTCTTGATATTAATGATTTCATTACAAAATCGACATGCTGATTGTATACAATTTCAGGACCCGGATAATACAAAGTTTTTATCCAATACAATGTCGGACAGACTCAGGATGAACTTAGGAAGAAGACGTACAACCTATTACAGATAATTATATTCCAATTTAAGCCGTGGCGGATGTGATGTTTGAATTAACTAATGATTCTTTTGTACTTGTTGAATGCTCGATTTTGAATTCTAAAAACAACACATTCGTTCGTGCTTGTGTCGTAATTAT